TTTTTTTTATTTTTGTGGGGTACCTAGTAGATGTATATATTTATGAGGTACATGAGATATTTTGATACAAGCTTGCAATGCATAAGAATCACATCATGGAAAATTGGGGATCCATCCCCTCAAGCATTTACCCTTTGTGTTACAAACAACCCAATTATACTCTTTTAGTTATTTTAAAAGGTGCAATTATTTTTTATTTTTTTTATTATTATTTTTTGAGACAGGGTCTCGCTCTGTTGCCTAGGCTGGAGTGCAGTGGCATGATCTCTGCTCACTGCCAGCTCCGCCTCCCAGGTTCATGCCATTCTCCTGCCTCATCCTCCTGAGTAGCTGGGACTACAGGTGCCCGCCACCATGTCCAGCTACTTTTTTGTATTTTTAGTAGAGATGGGTTTTCACCGTTTTAGCCAAGATAGTCTCAATCTCCCGACCTCGTGATCTGCCCACCTCCAACTCCAAAAGTGCTGGGATTACAGGTGTGAGCCTTGCGCCCGGCCAAAAGGTGCAATTATTGATTATAGTGCCCCTGTTGTGTTATCAAGTACTAGATCTTATTCATTCTTTCTAACTTTTTTTTTTTAAACACACGAACCATCCCCACCTTCCCCCTCTCCCCACAGCCATCCCTCCCCACTAACCTTCCCAGCCTCTGGTAACCATACTTCTATTCTGTATCTCCATGTGTTTAATTGTTTTAATTTTTAGATCCCACAAATAAGTGAGAACATGTGATGTTTGTCTTTCTGTGTCTGGCTTATTTCACGTACATAATGACCTCCAGTTCCATCCATGTTGTTACAAATGACTGGATCTCATTCTTTTTATGGCAGAATAGTACTCCCTTGCATATATGTACCACATTTTCTTTATCTGTTCATCTGTTGATTCCAAATCAGGTTCCAAATTCCAAATTAGGTTGCTTCCAAATCTTGGCTGTAGTGAACAGTGCAGCAACAAACATGGCAATGCAGGTATATCTCTTCAATATACTGATCTCCTTTCTTTTGCATATATGTCCAGCAGTGGGATTGCTGGATCATATGGTAGGCTTTATTTTTAGTTTTTTGAAGAACTTCCAAACTATTCTCCATAGCAGTTTTACTAATTTACATTCCCACCAACAGGGTACATAGGTTCCCTTTTCTCCAATCCTTACCAGCAGTTGTTATTGCCTGTCTTTTTAATATAAGCCATTTTAACTGGGGTGAGATGATATTTCATTGTAGTTTTGATTTGCATTTCTCTGATGATCAGTGATATTGAGCACCTTTCCTATGCCTGTTTGCCATTTGTATGTCTTCTTTGGAGAAATCTCTATTCAAATCTTTTGCCCATTTTTAAATCAGATTATTAATTTTTTTCCTGTAGAGTTGTTTTAGTTTTGTATATATTCTGGTTATTAATCCCTTGTCAGATGGGTAGTTTGCAAATATTTTTTCCCATTTCATGGGTTGTTTCTTCACTTTGTTGATTGTTTCCTCTGCTATGCGGAAGCTTTTTAACTTGATGTGATCCCATTAGTCCATTTTTGCTTTGGTTGCCTGTGCTTGGTTTTTCCCCTTTTCAATAAAAAAAAGTGATGGTAAAATATGCATATGGAAAATTAACTTATATGATTAGAATATCAAATTTATTCTTACCAAATATACATGTTGTATATACACACCCACACGAACATGTTCACACGCACACACACACATGCACACACACACGCACACACACACCCCTATACCTAAAAGATAAAAAGCCTGGCATTGCATTTAATTTATGATAAAATAATGATATCTGTCATTAGTAAACCTTCCTTGCACATATGCACATTCCTGCTGTCTTTTTAGGGAGCAAAGAAGATGTTGGCTCTGGGGATAACAGGCCCTGAGGGTCACGAGTTGTGCCGCCCAGAGGCAGTGGAGGCAGAGGCCACGCTGAGAGCCATCACCATAGCCAGCGCTGTGAACTGTCCTCTCTACATTGTGCATGTGATGAGCAAGTCTGCAGCTAAGGTGATAGCGGATGCAAGGAGAGACGGTAATTCCTGAATGTAACCTCACTTAGAACTCAGTATTAGCTGAAAAGGAAAGTCCATGTCTGTGGCCTCTGCTTCAGTTTAGGAGAGAGTGCATGTGGATTTTCACAACTTTTCTTCCTCCCTTTTTATTAGCCTCCTGGTTTCGTTTATCCTTATGTGTGTCTGTTTTCCCCCACTTTTGTTCATCTTCATCCTTGCCTCTCTACCTTCAGGTTTCCTTTGTTATTTCTTCTCCATCCTTGGGACCCCAGGACATTTCCTTTAGCCACATGCCCCCACACTCAATGCCACTAGCAGCCACTTTTAAATACGATAGTTAAATGCAAAGCTCTCAGGTTTTTGTTTGTTTTTGTGATGGAGTCTCGCTTTGTCGCCCAGGCTGGAGTTCAGTGGCGTGATCTCGGCTCACTGCAACCTCCGCCTTCTGGGTTCAAGCGATTCTCCTGCCTCAGCCTCCTGAGTAGCTAGAATTACAGGTGAGCACCACCACACCCAGCTAAATTTTATATTTTTAGTAGAGGCGGGGTTTCACCATGTTGGCCAGGCTCGTCTCAAACTCCTGACCTCTAATCATCTGCCCGCCTTGGCCTCCCAAAGTGCTGGGATTACAGGTGTGAGCCACCATGCCTAGCCCTCTTTCATTAATTTTGAAGAAGCTTCCCTATCTCTTAGGCAGCTCCACTACCCTTCCCTCTACCTAAATCAGGGCAGTGCAAGGCACCTAGTACATGCTCAATAAATTTCTTTTGAATTGAATTGATTCATCTGACAGCCACTTGGGTGTTGGAGCAATTGAAGCAATTATCCAAATGGTGTTTTTATGATAGTTATTTTAAGATTTTAAAACCTAAGTTATTTTTACCCCAAATTGCGTAATTGCCTCAGTTCTCTAGTTCAGTCTAGCATGTAAATATTCATCTTAAAGGAAAGAGAAAATCTCCTATTTTTGATAAGCATTGGGCAAATAAATGATTTCATTCTTTTGCCAATACTGGTAGAGAAAGGACGAAAAACAAATAAGGTGCATTTTACTCAATGACTTTAGGCCCATGGTAGCTTCTGTCCTCTCAATTTTAGGAATACAGATAATCAGAGACAGTCTTATAATTCAACCTTGCTGTTTTTGTTTTTTTTTTTTTTTAATTAAAACAGGCTGTATTTTTATAAGATTCATTATAAAAATAATGGGTCTCACTCTGTTGCCCAGGCTGGAGTGCAGTGGTAAAATCACGGCTCACTGCAGCCTCTAACTTCCAAGTGATCCTCCCATCTCAGTCTCCCAAGTAGCTGGGACCACAGGCATGCGCCACTATGCCCAGCTAATTTTTAAATTGTTTGTAGAGACAGGGTTTCGCCATGTTGCCCAGGTTAGTCTCGAACTCCTGGGCTCAAGCAATCCTCTCACCTTGGCCTCCCAAAATGTTGGGATTATAAGCATGACCCACTGCATGGTTTTGGCATGTATATAATTGATACCAAAATAAATTTTGTCAAAATTTCTTCTTGTTGCATTAAGGTTCAGTAATGATTTGTGCAAGCTGTGTGCACTTTTAAAATGTAATCCATCAATATTTTGTGTTAAGAGTAGGCTTATTTCACATAGGAGTTAATAATGTCTTATTAACCAACCATTTCTGATTGCTACTCTCGTATGTAAAAGAATTTCACCCCTTAAAAAAGAAAATGTTAAGTACTGCAATTTTAAAGTTATAGGTTTTTCCCACCAGATGGTGCTGTTGCCAACTCTATGAGATGAGTTGGTCTGTAATTATTTGCTTTGTTAAGTCGTGTACCGGGTCCGTAATGTCAGAATATTATTTAAGGAACAGTGAAATCAGCAGAAATTTTCACTTCTAACCCATCTTCAAGCTCCAATTTTGACAGTTCTGTCAGGAAGCAGTTTCTTGATCTTGGGTATTTGTTTTTCATTGAGATAGAATTCCATTAGGAGCAAAGTAAAAGTCTAGAGAGGGTTTTAGAATACAGATCATAGGCAGAAAACTAGTAAATACAGATATTTCAATTTTATTGTAAATTATTTTAAAATTCAATATTATTTCTTGAATCTGTAAAACATTTGCATGGTCCAAGAGTCAAAGTTGTATCTAAAAATGTTCAATGAAGTTTTACTTGCCTTCTCTAGCTCCTTCTTCCCATACAGTATAAGTAATGATTTTTATTAATTTATTTCTGGCCGATCTTTACCATGTTTCTCTTTACCAAATAAGAATATAGTTCTTCTTTCCTACATAAAAGGTAGCATACTGTACACCTTGTCTACACATTGCTTTGTTTTCCACTTGAAAATATGTTCTGAAGGTCAGCCCACATTAGACACAGAAATTTTCCTCATTCTTTTTTGTAAGTACAGAGTATGCTACTGTATTTATTCAATGAGTCCCCTATGGATGGACATCTGGGTTGTTTCTGATCTTTAGCTGTTCCAAGAGAAACCACAGTGATGACCTTTTGCATATGCCATTTCAATTTGTGAAAGACACATTCGTTCTGGAGGTCAGAAGCCTGAAATGGGTCTCACCAGGCTACAGTCAAGGTGTCTGCAGGGCTGCATCCCTTTCTGATGTCCTAGGAAGCCCTTGCCTTGCCAGCCCTTGTGAGGCCCATTGCATTACTTGGCTTGTGGCCCCTTCCTCCATCTTCAGCACCAGCCACAATGGTTGAGACCTTCTCACATCACATTATTTTGACCTTTTTGCCTCTCTCTTTCACTTTAAGGGCGCCTTATATTAAGCCTACCTGATTAATTCAGGATAATTTCCCCCATTTCAAGGGCCTTAATTTAATCATATCTATTAATCCCTTTGCCGTGTAAAGTAACATATTCACAGGATATGGGGATTAAGATGTGGACATCTGTTAGGCTCCATCTTTCTGCCCACCACAAAATGGTTATCTTGAGGGTAGATTTCTAGAAGTGGGATTGCTGGTTCAAATTGCATATGTAATTTTTGGGACATTGCTCATATTTTCCCCAAGGAATTATAAACACGAAATATTTAAAATACCACCCTAAACGTTGTAGTTGAGTCAGACTTACTGTGACAGTATAATACTTGTGAAAATACCCTCATGCGCAATTGTCAAAGAGGGGACATTGCTTCAGAATAAACTAGTTTGAAAGATTCCCTACCCCATGCATGTGACCAAGGCATGGGATCAAGCAGGGGCCCAAAGAGGAAGGGGTGGACATAAACTGTGCCCAGCTGTTCACATGGTGACTGCATCAGCAAACCAAAGGACAGATCCCTGCGGGTACAGTGGGACAAGAGCTGTTGGACCACACTGATCTCTTACAGAAGATGCATCTACCCTGTCTGCACTCATTTATTATCTCACATCATTTCTAAATGTAAAAGAGCAAGATAGATGTAAGTAAGAAATTGTTCGGTTTTACACATTTATACTATGAAAATCTCCCATCTGTAAATACCATTGCCAGCCCATTCTTTTTTGTTTTTTATTTATTTTTATTATTTTTTTTGAGACAGAGTCTCACTTTGTCACCCAGGCTGGAGTGCAGTGGCGTGATCTTGGCTCACTGCAACCTCCACCTCCCGGGTTCATGCGCTTCTCCTGCCTCAGCCTCTTGAGTAGATGGGATTACAGGCTCCCACTGCTATGCCCAGCTAATTTTTTTGTATTTTTAGTAGAGACAGGGTTTCACCATGTTGGCCAGACTGGTCGAGGTGGCTCATGCCTGTAACCTCAGCACTTTGGGAGGCCGAGGCGGGTGGATCACCTGACGTCAGGAGCCCATTCTATCTTCAAGGGCCTTTACTCTCACAGTGTGGTCCCTAGAGTGCAGCCTCCACATTGCCTGGGAGCTCCTTGGATCCTCAGAGCCTTGGGGCCCATCCAGATTCCCTGAATCAGAAAGTGCACTTATAACTAGAACCCCAGGTGATTCATATGGATATGAAAGCCTGAGAACCACGGCTCCAGGAGGCACAAAGGAGATCCAATTATTGATTGCTTCATTGTGGTAGCCTAGAAATACAATGCTATTAAATTTGATTTTATTGTTCAATCGCCAGCTCTATACCCAGAAGAGCGGGATAGTAATGATAACAACTAACAGCTTGCTGAGTGCTTAATATGTGCCTGGCACATAGTAGTACTTTAATCTCTTTTATCTCATTTCAGGTTTTACTATATTCTTATCTTATCAGTGTGTTTTAATACACATTGTCTTTTTAAAAATTGTCATAATAGTGCCTCATGCTCAATTTTACCACTCTTTTGTGATTGATGAAATTGAGGCTTGGGAGAGATTGGTGAATTGAGCCAAAGATCACTTTATTAGTAAGTGCTAAACTTGGAATTCAAGTCCAAGTCTATGTGTCCCCAGAGACCAAACTTTTTCTGTCACTCTCCACTCTGTTAAAGGAGAAATTGATCTGAAGTTGGGAAGACCTGGATATCAAGTTTGTATTTAATGGGCTTGGGGTTTATTTATTTATTTTTAGAGATAGGGTCTCTCTGTCACCCAGGCTGGAGTGCAGTAGCACAATCTTAGCTAACTGCGGCCTCGAGTTCCTGTGCTCAGATGATCCTCCCAACCTCAGCATCCCAAGTAGCCGCAACTACTCATGTATGCCACCACACCCAGCCAATTTTAAAAATTTTTTGTAGAAATGAAGTCTCCCTTTGTTGTTCAAGCTGGTCCTGGCCTCAGGTGATCTTCCTGCCTCAGCTTCCCACAGCACTGGGATTACAGGAGTGAGCCACCACACCTTGCTGGTTTTGGTGTTTTAAAATTTGTAATTGTAATTGGTTTTTGGTTTTTGGCATTACATTTAAATTTCTTATTTAAGACATTATCATCATTTCGCTATCTTTATCATTAAAAGATTAATTTTGGGGGCGGAAATGATGAAGTATTAAATGGAAAGTTAATATCTTCTGTCTCTCTCAGCTCATTCTTTAGAGCCAGTGATTTTAAACTTATCTATCTTTAGTTTTTGGTGGTTACCTCTAA